TAGAGACCAATCGAGGGCATTAGTATGATCTGTATGAAAGTGGCCATGTCGGCAGGCCACATCATGTAGATAGTACCTTGCCGGTACTCAGTAAGAAGTGCCGGTACCACATAGGTAAAAATCTGAAGTGCCGGTACTGCCTCAATTCAAGCACTGTCGCTAGCACCAGAAGCTAACAACTACGATCTCCGGTACCGGTGCGCTCTCTCTCTCTCTCGCGCACACACACAAAATGACTCGCTCCACACACACACAGAGCCAAGCTTTAATGAAACACAGAGGCCCAGACGTAATAGTACTGTATCATTATTTTCGAATCAATAATTTTTCAAATTATGATTATCTTTCTTTTTTAATCTTTTTTTTTTTTAAATAACCATTTTTCCTCCTGGTCTCCCTGTCATGCCTCTGCACCCCCCACTTTGGGAACCACTGCTTTAAGGTCTGCTGCTCTAACATCAGCAGTTTGTTGATATATATGATATATGAGATATATTTAAGCAATAGCTCACGACAGGCCGTGGTATATGCTCATTATATCACAGCTAAGGGGCGTGGTTCGGCCCGACGCGAAAATTGTTATATATACACACACACACACACACTGTAGTACAGCTAAATAAACACTCCAATTCAACAAAGGTGGTTACAGGATTTATTTCAAATTGTACACAATGCGAAGGACATGTATTTCTAGCTTAAACATTTTTTTAAAAGCACTCAGCATCAGGAGATAGCAGAAAGAACGTTTCATACATAATTTAACTTTTTAGACAGAAGCTTCAAATATCTAATAAGTGTCACTAATGTCTTAACAATCAATGGAGTCTTTAAGGGTACAAACCTTTTAAATACACAAAGGCATAATGGAGATTTCAATATGGAAAGTCATATTCATTAAGTACAAATATTTCAATTTCCTAAAAAATTAAACAATTTAATTGTCTGGAGTTAGATTTTTTGAAGACAATAAATGTGAATGCAAATGTATTACAGTTTATCATAACCCTGAATACAACCCAAAAGAGTAAACCAGTGGCGAGCCGTCAGGGCCCTCTATGCCCTCTGTGAGGGCCTAAAATATTCTAAAAAATAATATTTGAAAACATAAAAAAAAAAACATTTTTAAAAAAAAATATATTTTAAAATATTTTTTTTTTATTACATTTTATTAGTTTTACCAAAAATAACTTGATTTAATTGTATTTTAAATAACATTTCCAAAGACATAAATCCTTCGAATCTGCCTGTTCAGTTTCTGTTGGAATGTGAAGGGTTAAATGCTGCCTCTGCGAGTTATGTGAAGACGGGAGGGCTTGTTGGTCCCTCTCTACATTCACAGAGGGCCAGCTATAGTAACTCAATGAGAGAGTAATGTCAAATGACAGTATGATTGACCAATCATATCTCCCCTCTAAATGGGCGGGCATAATTTTCGCGGACTTCATGACAAGTTCCGCCCGCTGTGAGCTCTATGCAAGTGGTGCAGTGACGCGTCCTTAAACCCGGAAGTAAGCCGCGCTCGGATTCCCATAGGATTTTGGAAAATAGCTCGAAATAAGGTCTGTGGAAAACGAACCTGTTTGATAAATGCACGTTCTGTTCAGCCAGATAATATCCACATGTCTACCCTACTTTTATTATTTTCGAATCATAAATCTAATCGATAGATTTATGATCGATAGATGTATGATCGATAGATGCATGATTGGCATAAGTTCGTTCATGATGGCTCACTTCAGTGATAGTGATGACATCGTTGCGAAATTATTAACCGAGTCATTTTCAAGATTGAGTTACAATGATAAACTGGAGGGACAAAGGATCAGCTGAATGACCCGCAAGTGCTTCATCCAAAAGGACAGGAGGATGGACTTTGTGTTTAAGTGATTTGATCATCAAAAGTAGGCCTAAGTCATTTTCAATGTGGGCCGCCGTGCAGACTTAATTCATTTGTAATTGTTACTTGGCTGTGGGTGCCCTGTCATGATAGGTGTTTATATAAATGGTGTTGTTTTGTGTGGTAGAGGGTCGCTGTCAATGATGCGTTTTGCAACCCGGGCCGTTTTTTTGATATTCCGCTGAAGTATACGCTGTGACGTAATATCTCTTCTTTTTAAGAGGGAAGGGGGGGGGTCTAGGTAGGGGGGGGTCTAGGTATAAAAGTCACGGCTCGCCACTTGAGTAAACACATTAAAATGTAAAGATAAAATAACATTTGCCTAATTATACTTCATTAATAATTATTGTATGTACAAATCCCACCAAGAATACAAATCTTTTATGAACTGGTTACATGTTAATTACCAAATAATCTGTGTCAAAGTACAATGAAAAGCATCTTGCCGCTTTAGAAGCTACACATTCAACGCTTTCATTAACATGTTTCTAAAATGTGCACACTCAATAAAACCATAATATGTTTTGCTCAGCAGAGTATTAAAAGCATAAAAGCAGTACATGAGAACTCTTTTTTTTTGGCTCTAAATATTTCCTGCAAATCACCAACAAAAACATTGTGTACTAATTTCTATCCAGGATAAAAGCATTATATACTTCTTTAATCCAGGCTAAAACATTGAGGCTAACTTAGGTTTGCCTCAGTTAATTCAGTGTATTTACCAGTTGCCGCTTTTGAGTACACGCAATATATATATATACTGAATTAAAATCATCTTTATAGTCCTGGAGAATTTATAACAGCCTTAAGTTATTTATCATCTTAATTCAATTGTTGTCAAAGTGGTTTTCTTCCGAGTGCTAATAAGAGTCGATTGAGTTGGACAACAATATTTGATCATTTTTCATCCGAGTTATTTCCCTCCTTGTATGCTGGATGCGGGGCTGGATTGGGGGCTGGGGGTGCCACCAGCTGCAGGGATGAACAGAAGTCATATTTAAAACGACTAAAGCAACTACAAACATAGAAGCTCAATGCAGCTTTAAATCATTGGATGAAGATACTTACGGACGCCAGAGTCCTTAGTGCCAGCACTGTCGATAGAGTCGTCTGAGGCTGTGGAGAAAAGAAAATCTTTATATGCAGAATGGGTGGAGCGTTCGAGGCAGGGTCTGACTCTCGAGAGCAGAATACACCAGGGTCTTCCCTGGATCTCCTGCATCCATTGAGGAACTAACGGCTATAAAATTGTTGTCCAAGGAAATGTATTTACAACAAAGTTTTCTTTGCCCGAAATGACATCACAGACTCACAGAAACATTGTAGTACCACCGTTTGACCACTGCAACATTTTCCCCCAACTCATCATATCCTAACTGTGCTGTCTGGACTGCGATCTATTTATTCAATGAACAAAATGTGACAGAATGTGAGGTCAAACTTAAGAGTCCAGTCGAGTTCCGGTTGTCTCGCCTGGGTGGAAGCTTATAATGAACCCGCATTTAGCATTATGACATGTTCTGGCAATCTACAAATCATCAACCTGTGTTGATGGCATCACACTGATTGCAATGTCACAGTGGTTATGACTCACCGAGCTATGTCTAACTTATTGCCTTAATAATAACTGCTTTTTCACTGGGCCTATTTAAATCATTAGGGTCTATATTCCCTAAAAAGCTGTTATTTTCCCTCAGACGAGAGCTCGAAGGCGGGGTTTAAGGAGAACTCAAAATTTGATACACCGGTCCAGTATTTAGCTTAATATTAAACCAGGTTGAAAATGTTTACTATGTAACTGCCTTTGTTTACAAATCAGGAGCTGTGAGTAAGTGTAGGATCCCCCTTTCCCTGTTAAAAATAATCACTTGATTATCTTCTTATGACTATATATTTGAATGTAATGTAGTTTAATGCAAACACCACGTCTTTTCACATCTTTTAAAAAAACGAAAACAAACTTACCCTTCATAAGAGTTTCAGATGCCTCAATGTCATTGCCGCCTACACACACACACACACACACATTATTTACATAGTCTTTTTTTTTTTACATTTGTATGACTGTTTTCAGGCCTATCAACACCAAAAACATAAACATTATTTTTAACTACATATTATGCTTTTTAATACCATACTACTCTATAATAAACCTTTTAACTGTATTTGCAAAGCGACCAGAGGGTTCTCTTCTCATCCAGCCAATAATATCATTTATATAATTATCTTTAACGTTTTAGTACAATCGTATAAAATCCATAAGCACTTACCTTTGGTAGTAACAGCCTGAAGTGCCTGGTCTGTTAACAAAAGACAAAGTTAAAACACACACGTGAAGACACACACAACCAGATTTGAATGAGTGGACAGAGACACTGACCTGAGCTATCACTGTTGCTGCTTCCCCCTGCAAAGAGAAGACATTTTAAAATCTGCTGCGACCTGAATGTTTTTATTCAAACAGAAAATGAATGAGTTACCTTTGCTCTTTTTCCCACTTGTGCCCACTCCTGTAAACAAAGACAACGTTAACACATAGTAATGATTATGGATAAAGTCAACATCACGGAGACAAATGTGTGATGCTGGGCTATATAAATAAACTTTATTTATTAATTGATTGACCGAATATAAATAAGGCTACAACTAAAAACATTTTTTTTTAAATCAATGAATCTTTTGATAATTTTTTCAGTTCACCGTTGGGTCAGTAAAATGTTAGAAAAAAGTAACAAAATGACCATCTCAGTGTCTCAAAGGCATAAGAAAAGCAGGAAATGTACATTTTTGAGGCTGAAAGCAGCATTTTCGGAGAATGTCTTTCTTTCTTTCTCTTGCATGAAATATTAAGTTTCATTATCATAGGATCGTGCAAATAAAGATTGATACGAAGCAGAACGATGGATATTTTAAACGGAGCCCTACAGAAGCTCCCTGTGAGGGAGAAACTTCAGATCTGATGAGAGCTGGGCGGCTGTGAGCAGGGTCAACTCACTGCAGTGGATTAAGGTTTACAGTTATTCCAGATAATGATTGACAGGACTGCTATTCAATGTGACCTCTGATCCCCTTTTGAAGAACATCATAATAATAATAACAGACCTTTGCACTTTATAACGATCTCACACAACACATCCTTGCTCATGGCTGACAAGACTGTAAAACCAATGCTTTGTCTAAGTCTAGATACTGCCCTTAGTAAACTGCATGTCGTACTAGCAACGATAGCTACAGACGATTGTTTGCGGTAACACGAGGCCCTGTTTACTAAAGAAACCATAATCCTGGGTTGTAACTTCCGTGATGCAGCTAAGATGGCAACCGTTGAGTGAGAATCGTCCAGCATTGGACACTGATGAGAACACTCATCGCGCAATGCCCTCAAAACAGCACATGTAATATGCTAGAAAGTTTAAACCTAAATATTAGAATTACGTTTTTGTTCAATAAACACTCACTCAAATTACATGTTGTATTTTCTTCTACAGAAAATAAATATTCCATCGAAAGGTATCTTGTTGTTGAAGGAAGACAGTTGCTAGATATTGCACTTACCGAGCATTCCTTTTTTGTAGAGAATCAGGAGCACCGCCAACGCGACCAGTAGCAGCACCACCCCCAGCACCACTACCACTACGACAATGATGGATCCTGGATCGCTAGGAAGTGTATGATCTAAAAAAAATAAAAGAATACACTAGTTTTACATTTTCAAAATCATTCCTATTCCTTATATAAAATGTAATAAGCTTTCTGTTGATATTAGGCAATTCGAGTGTGGTTAGTAACATTCGCTTGTAAGGTGTTTCTAGGTCTCCCTCACTCATTGGACTCAAAGGTTATTCCGGTCGTAGTCGATTAAGAATGAATCATTTTTGTATGCTTTGTCCTGCTGAATGACTTTAATCTAAAAAACTTCTTAGCACATCTCTATTAAAAACAAGATTTGGTGCTTTTGCATTTGATCTTCCTCGAGATAATCAGATCCGTCAAATCAATTAGTCAACAATTATTAGTATTTTTAGTTGAGAATAGCCTCACTAATTTCAATCATTTGTCCATTGCCACCCTCTGCAATTAACATCAGCAAGGAATGCTAATAAAAAAAAAAAAAAAAGGCAAGAAAAAGTTTCCTACCCCATTGCTGCTCAACATGCATTCCTGATGCAACATGCTTCACTTCACAGGTGTAGGTTGACAGGTCAGTCCTCAGAATCTCCACTCCGTCTGTTCTCTGGTAGGTCTCGTCTCCGTTTGGACGAGTGTTTGTTGTACACACTCCGTCCTCTTTGGTTAGAATACGGCCGTTCCGTTTGATCTGCAGCAAGATGTCTTTCGGGTAGAAACCGGTGGCCATGCACGACAGGATGATGTTCTTCTCCGACGTGGCCTTCCTTGAAAACACGTACACCTTTGGAGGAGCTGGAAAAAGAAACCATAACATCAGATCATATTTGCAGGCTTTTCATTTTTAACCAGTCCAAATAATTATTTAAAGTATTTTCCCAAACAGTTTTTTCCCCAATAGCAGGCCTATTGTATTTAGTTCTAATTAACTAATTAGGGGGGCGTGCCCCCACAGCTGTGAGAACTCAGCAATCAGGTGTCCATCTTAGGTGGCTCTTTCCTGGAGCGTCAGCTTCAGCCAGACGAAGACTAACAAAGACATTGGAGTCCTGTGGGAGTCACGAGGGAGGCAAAGAGGAGGCAAATCCTACTTTGATTGAGCTAAGTATCGCTGGTGTTTTCTTTTGTTTTATTCAATGCTCTTTGGTTCTCTAGCCCCTCATGCTATAATCATGTGTATTTTCTCCATTCCTGTTCATGTGTCCTCTCGCAATTATCACTGGCCCTGTGTATCTCCTAATCGATTTAACCGGCCTGCTCTTGTCTATCCCACATGCTCCACTGAGATCCAACATCTCGTTTCAGGGGGCCTGTGGAACTGCCAGTCAGCTGTTCCTAAGGCTGACTTCATCTCTGGCTACGCTTCCCTGCAGTCTCTGGATTTCCTTGCTCTCACGGAGACCTGGATTACTCCATCCAACACATCCACCCCAGCAGCTCTCTCTACAATATATTCCTTCTCCCATACACCCAGACCCTCTGGCAGAGGAGGGGGCACTGGTCTCCTGCTCTCTCCCAACTGGAGCTTTTCCCTCTTCAAGCTACCTAACTTCACTCCTTCCACCTTTGAATTCCATGCCGTCACAGTAACCCATCCTATACAATTAACC